TGCGTGTAACTCTCTCTCTCCCCTCCCTCCATACTTCCCTCCCTGCATCCCTCCCTCCCTCTTCCCCCTCTCCTCTCGCTGTGCTATCACGACACCCATGAGAATATCCCGACAGTTTCCCCTTCCCGATGCGTATTCCAGTCGTGGAACGTGAGCGATGTGTGTGTGTGTGTGCGTGTGTGTGTGTGTGTGTGTGTGTGTGTGTGTGWGWGWGAGAGAGAGAGAGAGAGAGAGAGGAGGTGTGGTAGTCATCTGCTGACGAAGCAATCTATTRCACTGATCTTCACGTAACCTGGTGCAACATTCGCTTGTTGAAAATCGCAGGGAAGACGATCGAGCTTCATACAGGAGGCAATCAACGTCAGCTCGTTGGATCGCCACCCCTTCTCGAACTTGTCTTCCAAAATCATTCTTGGTTCCTTGATGATGCATGCCCCTGATCATACACCCTTACAACTCACATATAACACAAGGCCTCATCATACGGCCATCCCCTACCCGTTAATTGTACGAGTCGGGAGTGTGTATTACCTCTAATTGTATGCTATAACAGGATACAAAGCATTAGTCACCATCAAGCAGGAGTTTTGCAGGGAGGTAAGAAATTCGTCTTAACATCGCCCTTCTTCTCCTCATCTGTCGAGTAGAGTGCGAGAACGAATAAACATCAATTCATTGGACCCATAACCATTCTAAATCAAACTACCAGTACAAGGCTTGCGTCCTCTTGAGAGACAATTGTACATCTCTTATCACGCCAAACTAATTCTGTCACCTTTCCCTTCTTGTGAGAGATGCATGGTCATCATCAAAGCCTCAATCTCAGCAGGTCACCGGCCTAGACTCATTTACTCTCTCGACTGTGAGAGTCTAGCTGGGGAAGAGAGTAGGGATAGTTAAAGAGGAAACTGAACAGTACTCAAGAGGGGTGACTTTTGATTTCCACTGCAACGCTGATCATTAATCTCTGTACTCGTCAATCGAACACCGCTCTAAGTAATGATAATCCATACTCCGAAACTCCCTTCTTACTCATGACTCGACGAGTGGCTAGAATACACATGGGCGAGCAGCGTAGTTCATTGAGCCCCGTGACGGAAATAACAGCGCATACAGAAGCGACAACTCTGATTAGTCAACTTTTAATGATTGCTCAGACTCGTCCTGCTCATCTTCTTAAACTCACCCCTGCTATGCACGGCCTCTAGAACTAAACTTACCTTAGTCTCCCTTGTTTGGACTAACAGTTCGCTTACCCGGCCGCGCTTCTCATGTAGGGCTGGGAAACATTATACCATTCGCGAGACATCAGGCTCGGCCTATCCGGAAGGGCGCGTTGCTATCACCCACTCACACCAGCTACTTCAACAGCAGCATTTGCTCCTGTCTCCTCAAGAAAACCAGTCGTTACTTCCATTCATCACGCATCAGAACAGGTAGATGTCGCCCTTCTCTCTTACAGCTTACAGGGGCATGTCCTGTTGGCGAGGCAAGAGACCGTTCTTCGCGGCAGACGGCACTAGTCGAAGAACAAAATCTCACCCGCTTCACTTGTCTTCCTCCCGCACGTGGTTCACATCAGAGAAGCTCTTTCACCAGTAGAAGCATGCCGAAGCACTCTCTGACGGAGAACAAGTTGATAGACACATACTAGGTAGGGCTCGTGAAAACTAGTTGCGTCCCTCACGCTGAACTGGGCCTGTTCGCACTCACTCCTCTCGCGCGCTTGCATCGTAGTTGCCTGGCGAGCGAGCAAGAAACGCTTTGAGACCGATCACCCAGGAGAGACGTGCGAGATGAAACAGAGACGAGTCACCCTCGCGAATACTCAAGAAGTCATGGGGGCTGGTTACCCCGGCGAGTCACACAAGCTCACCGTGGCTCATCAATCACGAAGTGCTCTGAGCGAGCGTGAAGACAAACAGTTGACCAGCGAGTCACGGAGGTTCACCGCGGCTCATTAGTCACGAAGAGCGCGCGTAGAGACAACAGTTGAAGTCGACCATATCTAGCAAGATCGAGCACGCTCATCCATACCGCTTGTGCTGAAGTCAAAAATGACGTTCGCAGTCTGAGCACCTCCCTCACACTCATGTGCACCGCTCATCACAGACACTCCTCTAGCTCATCCCATACCACAGTCATTCTCCTCTCAGTGTTACAGGGACTAAACGAGAGCTCGTGCAAGCTTGCACGAAAGCGGTTGACATCAGGCGTATCTCGCAAGGTTGCCCACGCTGCACATACGCGCATGTCTCTCTCCCTCGTTGACCTCCTACACGTGTCTTTTCCCCCTGTTCTGCTTCTCGCCTGTCCCACGGCCGCTCGGTGTCAGTTGTCGCGAGCTTGCCTCAGGTCCCTCTTCTACCGGCTTCGCGACCAGATGATACTTCTGGACCTCACCTGGTCTATTCCAGGACCTGAGGTCCGTCTCTCGGTCCTCCGCCTCGCTCATCTCGCTTTCCCCACCTGAGTCCCGGTCTAGGTGGGCTTGCTCTCTGTCCACCGTGTCCATCGAGGTTTCGGTCTCATGATATGAGACCGTTACCTGCATCCTTGCTGTCACCCCATCTCTTCTGCAGCGCCGCTCCGCCCGGTCCTTTGCCTCAGTAATAGTAGCCTGCAGTTTTGTGTTAGTTCGCATCTCTTCCTCCTTCGCCCATTCCACACTGATCCTTAGCCTCAGTTCATCTCCCCCGTCATAATTCAGTATTACCGTAATCCAAGGCCATTCTCCGGACATTGGTTTCCACCTGGCCTGCTGGTACCAGTATCCAGGCCTGTACCCATGCAACGCCATCGCTAGGCCCCTCTCTTGCAGACTTTGCTCAGGCTGTCCCGGAGTAGCAAATGCCAAGCAGCTAATCGTGCAGAAACAACGCACACTGGCGATCCTCCGCTTACCCGCTAAGACCTGTCTTGCCTTCTGTCTGCCATGAGCCAGTACTCGGCATGGCAAGACCACCCAGGACTCTCTTGCTAAAAGCCAGTTCCATTTCCTTCTTATAAAAATAAGTTCATTTGTCGTGACCCCTGTGTTCTAAACAGAGGATCAGACTAATAAAGCGTACTAAACGGAAAAAGAAAAGGTAAGGAAAATACTTTATTGGGGGTGAGGGGAAAATTAGAATCAGCAGACAACAGGGAAATCCAAGGAAACGGTACGACAGCTGTCATGGACCAGCCTTTGCGTGAAAAGACTACTACGTTCAGCTCAGTGGTCCCATAACAAAACATAGACGGTGCGCCTTTCACCTCAAAAACGGACCATCGACCTACTCCTATCGGGTGCCCGTGCCCGATGGTAAGGAGGGGGTTCATGCCCTCCTATAGAAGGTGATGAACCTCCTACCGATGCGTTCACGGGTCGCCCCTCTTTTGGGGCCTAACCACGCGGCACTCAGTCGGCGCTCACTCTCAGACGGGATAAGCGGGGTTGGCCAACTCGAACCACAGCTCCAAATTCGAACCGTTGGCTTTTCCGCGATATGACAGAAAAGATGAAGGCAGGCCGCGCCTGAAAACCGATAAGGTAATAATAACTATAATAATAATAGTAATCGCAGAAAAGGAACGGGCGGCGTCCCAAAATTTCTCCGCGCAGTAGCCTTGTCTGAACAGCGACCTGCGTTCACGCACAAGTATAAAAGCCCGATTTTCAACCTTTTTCCCTCCCTTTTGTTTCTTTTCTTATTTTTCTCCTCTTAGTTCCCACTGTATCTGCCCCTTAACCTGGCCACCGGGGGTCYGTGCGGTTCAGACAAACAGGTCTGGTRCAGGCAATATACGAGGGGTAGGTAAGACCCAGACCATGAGACCACAGTTRCAGTCCGAAACCTGAATCAGCGGCCTTCCCTACGAAGTGACAGAACGACARTCGAGAAACTGAAAATAGGAAAATTAAGTAAATAACAATAACAATAGTAATGACAAACCAAAAGAAAGGTAGAAAGGAAATTGTAGCATCTCAGTGGTCTGAGTCCAGTGGCTTGAGGCCACTGGATTTTCCCCGTACAAAGCTTATGTCTGGCATTTTTATTTTTCCTTTTCTCTTATCTCTCTTGACATCGATTTCTGTCTCGTGCACCTATCCCATAACTCAGTACAGAAGTGTTTGGCGCGCAGTTGAAAAGACTGAGCCAATCCTCTTACATCCGCGTCCCAGGGCGAACCCGGCGGCTACCACGGCCATAGGCCGGTC